TTTTAAGTTGAGGCTTTGTATTTAAGTGTCTCAGTGTGACTTCTGTGCCTGCCCACAAACCCATTGATCTTGCAATCGCTTCTCAAACAGAGGCTACTTAACTGTGCGGGCACAAAAAGCAGGCCATGCAGTCTAGCCAACATTTTATTTGTTTATGAGATTTTTACCCCGCCCTCCCAGCAAGGCCGGCTCAGGGCGGCTCACTTAAGGGTTGCACCTGACCGAGCAGGTGCCAAGAGGGGCAGGAATTGTACCGCAAGCAATTCCATGCTTTACATAAACTGAGCCAGTTAGTGCTCAGGCCCCGAAAGGAGCTGCTATCTGGTACTGTGTGCCTTGCCCCAAGCGCCTCCAGAGTTTTAAGAAGTGGCTCAAGGCCAAACTGTATAGGACCACTTTGAGAGTCTCAGAGGAGTCGAATTCTCTCGGTTTGAGATATCTGGCGGGGAGATATGTATGAGTTGGTCGAGAAGCTCCTTTGGTCTTACTGGTTTAGTACTCAGCTTGCTCCAAGCCCTACTTTCGGGGGATGAAATTGAGACCAAAATATATATATATATATATTTTAAATAAAATAATGATCCAGCCCCAGGGGATTACTGGCCCATCTACTAGTAAATTAGTTCTTGGGGCAAAAGGAGCGGTGACCTGGCTCGATAGACCAGGCCTCTCTCCAAGGTGGTGCCCACCAAGTGTTTTCAGGAAGGGAGTGGGGCCTGGTGGGACTTCTGCCCAAAGGATTCCTAACTGACCATTGGAAATCTGCTGATCTGTACAGATTCAAGAACACACGGCTTCAGCAGCAGCTGCCCCCACAGAACCAAGGACCTTTACTGCATCACTTGGGATAAGCTGTGTTTCATACAAGAAGACGTTTTTAAACATACGTTCATTCAGGCAACATTTCTGCCTGAAATGTCAAAGTTACTATCAGAGTTATGCAAGACGTCAATCCTTAATGCCTTGTGGCCAGCTCTGCCTCTGGAGAGCAGCCATTTTGCGGCTGTGACCACCAGCCTCTGTCAGAATTCCCGAAGGCCTCGCTTTAGGAGGCAGATGGAGACGGTTTTCTTTAGGACTGCATCTGGTTAAAGCAGTTCTAAATTGTGATTTTTAAATTTTTACATAGTGTTTTTATGTGAGCTTGAGCTCCGCAAGGAAGAAAGGCGGCTGATAAATGTTTATTTGTTCTGTGGCTTCAGACCAACACAGCGACCCCACCGGAATCTGTTTACTTATACATGTGCATGCGTGTTATGTGCCGTTTCAAGTTGCTTACGACTTACAGCAACCCTAAGTCTTAATACTTCCAAAAGTTCCTGTCATTAGCAGCTTTGCTCAAGCCAGTTTGGTGTCGTGGTGAAGTGCGCGGACTCTAATCTGGGAGAACCGGGTTTGATCCCCCACTCCTCCACTTGCACCTGGCTGGATGACCTTGGGCAAGCCATTGTTCTGTCAGAGCTGTCCTTGAAAAAGAGCCGTTTCTGTCAAGAGCTCTCTCAGCCCTGCCTACCTCACAGGCAGTGTTCCCTCTAAGCTGAGTTAATGTGAGCTAGCTCACAGTTTTTTAGCCTCCAGCTCACATATTTTTATCCTAGCTCAGGAAGAATGGCTCCAGAGCAAGCTAATTTATGCAATAGCCAAATCGCTTGCTCACAACTTTAATGCCAGTAGCTCACAAAGTGGAATATTTGCTCACAAGACTCCACAGCTTAGAGGGAACATTGCTCACAGGGTGTCTGTTGTGGGGAGGGGAAGGGAAAGGAGTTTGTGAGCCGCTCTGAGACACCTTTTGGTAGTGAAGGGCCATGGGGTATAAATCCTTTGGGGGGTTCTTCTTTGCAAACCGAAGGCCATGGCTTCACTGACTGAGACAATTGACCTCCTGTTGGGTCTTCCTCTTTTCCTGCTTGCCTTCAACTGTCCCTTATCCCTCTTGGATGCACACCTTAACGTGGTGAGGGGGGGTTGAGCGTGTCAGCGAAGCTAAGGGCAATACCGCCGGGAGTTCAGAATCAGTTAAGAGGCTACATTCCAAGGAGAGTCACTCAAGGCAGGACAGTCAACGCTGAGACACCAGACCAAGATGCATCCACCCCCTTCAGGAACTACCAGTCAGATCGACAGAAGAGAATGGACAGTTCAGAAGCAGACTGTACAGATTGTTGTTAACAGTCACGGAGTTAATCTAGGGTGCTTGGGTGTTAGACGCAATTCCAAGAGGTAACACTGGAGACTACTTAGGTCTGAAAGGAAACCGAACGGCCGTTCATTCCATCGCCTTCCTGCCGGGGGGTGGGGAGAGAGAACCACGGAGAGTAACACTGAAAAGCTCTACGGGAGCCAAGAAAAGCTTATCAAAAGAAGAGGAGGAGGAGGAGACTGGATTTATACCCCGCCCTTCACTACCCGAAGGAGTCTCAGAGCGGCTTACAAACTCCTTTCCCTTCCCCTCCCCACAACAGACACCCTGCGAGGTAGGCGGGGCTGAGAGAACTCTGACAGAAACTGCCCTTGAGAGAACAGCTCTGAGAGAACTACGGCTTGCCCAAGGCCATCCAGCAGGTGCAAGTGGAGGAGTGGGGAATCAAACCCCATTCTCCCAGATTAGAGTCCGCGCACTTCACCACGACACCAGACTGGTTCCCCAAAGCACTTCTGGTGTAAAACCTTAAGGGGAAATGGTAAAAAAGAACCCATCTCTACGAAGAGCCAAATGTGTTAAGCGAGCCAAGCTTTGAAGACAACCCCTCGGCTTTCAACGATGATGCCGTTCAGCAGCAGATACCCTACTGACCCGCTCTTTCAGCTGGATCACTTCCTTGTCTTTCTGCAGCTTCCACTGCCTAAATTTCTCTGCATCTTCTTTCATTTGACGTATGAGCTGAACACGCTGGTTTTTCATCGCCTAGAAGATCGACACAAAAGAGGGGGGGAGGGTTAGGTAATTATGCCTGAACGCCCGTGGGGTTGGCGCTCCTCCTGCCCACTTCTCATGCACAGGGAGCCAATCATTGTGCGAGCTGTTCTGAAGCATCCAAGCTGAGCAACTATGCTGTCTTCATGAATGTTTAGGCAGATCCTTCAGAGCCACCGCCCTGGCCAACTGTCTGCCGCTGACTCAAATCTTAAAAGGCATGTAATAAAAAAACAATTTTAAAGATTTTTTTTAAGTTGAGGCTTTGTATTTAAGTGTCTCAGTGTGCCTTCTGTGCCTGCCCACAAACCCATTGATCTTGCAATTGCTTTTCAAACAGGGGCTACTTAACTGTGCAGGCACAAAAACCAGGCCATGCAGTCTAGCCAACATTTTATTTATTTATGAGATTTTTACCCCGCCCTCCCAGCAAGGCCGGCTCAGGGCGGCTCACTTAAGGGTTGCACCTGACCGAGCAGGTGCCAAGAGGGGCAGGAATTGTACCGCAAGCAATTCCATGCTTTACATAAACTGAGCCAGTTAGTGCTCAGGCCCCGAAAGGAGCTGCTATCTGGTACTGTGTGCCTTGCCCTAAGCGCCTCCAGAGTTTTAAGAAGTGGCTCAAGGCCAAACTGTATAGGACCACTTTGAGAGTCTCAGAGGAGTCGAATTCTCTCAGTTTGAGATATCTGGCGGGGAGATATGTATGAGTTGGTCGAGAAGCTCCTTTGGTCTTACTGGTTTAGTACTCAGCTTGCTCCTACTTTCAGGGGATGAAATTGAGACACAAAAAAACCAAAAAAGGCTTTGGGGAAAAACCGGGGGGGGGGGGGGGCCAGGTTTTCCCCCGAATTTTTCGGGGCTTTCTCTAGTTTTAACTGAGCCTCTGGCACTATTTACCCGGATCTCCTGGTTCAGTTTGGAGACTGTCTGCTCGCTCGTCTCTTTCATCTTCAGGAGCTTCGACTGCTCCTTCAGTTTCTTCTTCAGGTCCGTCATCTCCCCTTCCAGCTCCTGAAGGCGTTTCCTACGGCGCTCGCTGAGTCTGAAAAGACCGGAGGTTCTGTAGTCACAGACTTAAGACTGCTTTCCCGCCAGCAGGCTCTTCCTTTGCAGGCGACACCCTTCCCATCCCCCGAGAGAGGCCGGGGCTCTTACTTAGCTTGGCTGACGTCCTTTTTCGTCGCCTGGAGCGTCACCACCAGCTCTTCTTTCTCCTTCTGCAGCTTCGCAACTTCCACCTCCAAGTCTTTGATATTAGTCTGGATTAATTAAAACGCACACATACATGCATCAGGTTTTTAAACAAGTGGGTAGAAGTTGACACGGCAAGCAAATAACAGCCTTGTCTGGTCATTACTAGATCCAGGGCTCTTTTTGTAGAAAAAGCCCAGCAGGAACTCATTAGCATAATAGGCCGTACCCAACAGCAGAAACTCATTAGCATATTAGGCCACACCCCCATGTTACCAGAAGTGTGGTCATCCAGCCACACCCACCTTTTGCTTCTTATTCTGTTTACCTTGTTTATTGTCAAAACCCAGGGCTTTTTTTGTAGCAGGAACTCCTTTGCATGTTAGGCCACACACCCCTAATATAGCCAATTCTAATGAGTTTCTGCTGATGGGTGTGGCCTGTTATGCTAATGAGCTCCTGCTGGGCGTGGCCAACTCAGGAGCCAGCCGGAACTCCATTCCTGTGCGTTCCTGCCCCAAAATAGCCCTGACTAGATCTAAGAGTAGAGTTGGTGGCTTGTGCCAATCACAAAAGGAGTGAAATTAGGCCAACCACAGACAAGGTCTGGATTTCTCTTACCCCAGGGACTCCCCAGGTATGCACAAACACATGATCTTGTTACATTTACTTAGGTGTGGTGGTGGTGGGGAAACTATAACAATTCCCTGATGAGGATTAAATGGGCCCCAGAAGGCCTTGGAAGGCTGACAGAGAAAATTTCCAAACTTTTTAAAAAGAGTAAGTGGAAATTTGGGGGGGAAATGTAATATATGCAATACTTACTTTCCTGTCAAGTCTAAACTTGTTACCAGTTTAATAATATAAAATGAATCAGTTCTAAGGTAGCATATGTCATCATCAGTATATCTAATTTGCAACATGCCATCAACTGTGGATACCTAAATTCAGAGACTGGAGCCATGAACAGACAAGACAGATTTTTCTACAAACCTGAAAAAAGCTCCAGGTTTGCAGAAATCTTTAAAAGAAAAACACACTTCGGGTGTGTGTAAAAACCCTTGAAGTAACAGATCCAGCACATATACCTCCAATGACAAAAAAATGCCCTCTTCAGTGGCCATTGTGGGGGTTGCTAGGCAACCGCAACAATATTGCCAGTCTTCAAGCCTTAGTTTCTCAGTAAAATGCATCTAATTTTTGTCATCACAGATTTCCCCTTTAACACAAAAGATGATCTTCAGTAGCCAGATTTTAAAGGACAAACATTCTGTTTTGTCAGGGTTTAATAAAGAGAAGCACAGTAAAAAACTATTAATAAACAGTAAGTACTGCACTTACAGTTAAGGTCAGCTTTTTACGAATACATGCTGTGCAAATAAATAATACTACATAAGAACGTAAGAGAAGCCAATGTTAGATCAGGCCAATAGCCCATCCAGTCCAACATTCTGTCACACAGTGGCCAAAAACACCAGGGGCCATCAGGAGCTCCACCGGTGGGGCCAGGACATTAGAAGCCCTCCCAATGTTGCCCCCCCCCAAGCACTTGCCACAGCCTAAGAGTTCCTATCTATGCCTTGTGGCTAATAGCCACCGACGGACCTCTGCTCCATATGCTTATCTAATTCGCTCTTGAAGCCGTCCTTGATAAGGACTAAGCACGCCCACTGAGGAGTGTTGAAGGCAGTTCAACAGATATGAAAGAAAACTAAGTGAAAGTGGGGTGGGGGGGTCGCGAAACCGGTCTGCTTGAGCGCCTAACAAACTGCGGTGTCCAGGAGAGGGAACCTTGGAGAGGGGTCAGTTTCCCCGAAAGGATTCCCTTCTGCCGTTCCCTGCAGTCCCTCCAATTTCCTACCTTCCAACGGTCCTTGTTTCCACTAAATGAAGGAAACCGATTCCCCATTGTAGGCAACACGCCCAACTGAGTAGTCCACCACGCATATCTACACGCGGTGCCTCGATCGACACTCTTTACCTGGTATTGGCACTGAATGGGCTCCAGCTGGCTGTCGTTCTGAGTCATCTTCCTCGCCAGGGCTTCCTTCAGAGCCAGGGCTTTGTTGAGCTCCAGCAGCTCCTTGGACATCTGGGCCTGGTGGAGAGCGTGCCGGGTGGTGTATTCCTCTGACGCGCTCTGGTCGCCCAGGCTGGCTTCCGCAAGCTGGAAGAGAAGAGGGTCCAAAGTGTGAACAGAAAAGAGGCCAACGGTGGCACGGAGGTGGCTAGCCAGTCTGGAGCTTACTTACAGCCCCGGAGTCCTGTTCGGACGTGTCCATTTCGGCATCGCCGGGAGGACTTTCGCTCTGCAGAGGAAACGCACACGTCAGGCCGGTGCCACGCCGAGGCCCCCGGGCAGCCCACCCATATCTCTGTTTAATTCAAAAGCTTGCATCCTCCCAATCAGATTTGCTCAGAACTCGATGCTGCTGCTTCAACTCCTCTGGACCTCCCCCCTGCCAGCCACTTTGAGAGGCGTCAGTAGCAGATTCCAGCATGACCGAGTCCTTATTACACAAGACTCCCCGGCGGGTTGACAGCCAGGAGGACGCACCAGGTTGGAACACGGCGGCAGAAACGCCGCCTTCCCCAGTCTCCGGCTCTCACCTGCAACCGGGCAATCGCTTGCTGCAGGCTGCAGACCAGCTCCACGTGCTGCTTTAGCTCGTCGTCCTCCAGAACCTCGCGCAGCTTCTGCAGATCCAGTTTCAACCTGAAAGCCAGATGCGAGAATGCCCTGGACTTCTACCGGAGAGGTTCCCCTGTGAGACCTTCCCCTGCCCCCCTGAGCCGCACGACATCTTGGTGCTTGGGGGGGGGGGAGCAACAGTGGGAGGGCTTCTAGTGTCCCGGCCCCACTGGTGGACCTCCTGGTGGCAGCTGGTATTTCTGGCCACTGTGTGACACAGAGTGTTGGGCTGGACGGGCCTTTGGCCTGAGCCAACATTGGCGTCTCTTATGTTCTTATGACATCTAGTCCGTATTTCACTGTGGAGTCCTGATAATTCTTAGTTTCAGCGTGGTCTGTTGAGAAGTTTAATGTCTTGCTAAAAGGCACCAGCATGCTTTTACTTATTTAGCTAAACACACTGAAAACACTCTGGTAAAAGAATGATTTCTTTTAAAAATCTGTAGAATAATAAATAGGGATGCAATAAAATGGAATTCTACAAGATGGACACACTCTCGCAGGTATAGAAGAAAGTAAGAACAGCCCTGCTGGTTCAGAGCAGGGGTCCATCTAGTCTAGGATCCTGTCTCCCACAGCGGCCAGCCAGTTCCTCTGGAGGCCCAGCAACAGAGAACAGAGGCCAAGGCCTTTCCTTGATGTTAAGAACAAAAGAAGCGCCCTGCTGGATCAGACCAGGGAGGGTCCCTCTAGTCAAGGATCCCGTCCCCCACAGCGGCCCACCAGTTCCTCCTCTGCAGGCCCAGCAACGGGGCAGAGAGGCCGAGGCCTTCCTCGATGCTGCCTCCTGGCACTGGGATTCAGAGGTTGACTGAGGAGGTTCCCTTTTGTCACCAGGACTAGTAGCCACTGACAGATCTGTCTAGTCCTGTTTTAAAGCTGTCTATGCCCGTAGCCATCACTACATCCTCTGGCAAGCAATTCCACATTCTAATCACTCGTTGTGTAAAGAAGTCCTGCCTTTTGTCTGTACTGGTCACACTTTGGGTCTGAAAGAGTTCAGAGCCGTGTGGGGCCTTGCCTCCCCGTTCCCGGACCTAGCCAGCTTTGTGTCGGTTGCTCCAGAACCAAAGCAATTATAGGGATATGAAGCTCCTGAGCCCACGGAATGGCGGGAGGGGGGACTTACGCCTCGTGCTGCTGGAGCTCCTCCAGCTTAGCATTGATCTTCTCGTTCTGCTGCTCCGTCTAGAAAGAGAAAGTAGGTAGTGTTCCCTCTAAGCTGAGTTCGTGTGAACTAGCTCACAGATTTTTAGCCTCTGGCTCACACATTTTTGCCTTAGCTCAGGAAGGAGGGCTTCGGAGCAAACTGATTTCTGCAGGAGCCAAATGGCTCGCCCCCAACTTTCATGCCAGTAGCTCACAAAGTAGAATTTCTGCTCACAGGACTCCACACCTGAGAGGGAGCATCGGTTATGAACTGACGTCTTGCTTATGAACCAAGGCCTTAAGTCGCACGTTAGTTGGATGAAGTGCCAACCTCAGGACCGTGTTGCTTAGGAGGTGATGCTGGATTGGGACCCGAGAGACTGTGCGCCAGCCCTTCAGTGAACAGTGCCAAAGATGTGTGAAGGATTTAAGCTCTCTGTGGGAAGCTCTTCCTAGACCAGGATAAAGAGGCCAACAGTAAAGGAGCAGCGAAGGTGAGAGCCAGTGTGGGTTAGTGGTCAGAGTGTAGGACTAGGATCTGAGAGACCCGGGTTCAAATTCCCACTGCCACGGAAGCCTGCCGGGTGACCTAGGGCGAGTCACACTCTCTCGGCCTCACCTACCTCACAAGGTTATTGTGAGGATAAAATGGAAGAGAGGGGAAGGATGTAAGCTGTTTGGGGTCCCTGCTGGAGAGAAGGTGGCGTCCACATGCAGTAAATGAATAAAAATAAATAAACACCAACCTAGCAATACAGAAAAGCCAGCTAAATCGTTTAACATTACTCTCCTTCTACAAGTGCAGACCCTGGCCGCTAAAGATCTTGAAAGAAGAAGAGGAGAAGAGATTGGATTTATACCCCGCCCTTCACTACCCAAAGGTGTCTCAGAGCGGCTTCCAAATTCCTTTTCCTTCCCCCTCCCCACAACAGACACCCTGTGAGGGAGGTGCGGCTGAGAGAGCTCTTGACAGAAACTGCTCTTTTTTCAAGAACAGCTCTTATCAGAACTATGGCTTGCCCAAGGTCATCCAGCCAGGTGCAAGTGGAGGAGTGGGGAATCAAACCCGGTTCTCCCAGATTAGAGTCCGCGCACTTCACCACGACACCAAACGCCAGCTCTAACTTAACCACGACACCAAAGGGCCTCACCATAATGATCCTCTCGAGCATCTGGGCGATCTGGCCGGCGGCCTCACTCAAGCCCCGGCTCAACTTCTCATTCTCCTCCGCCAGGGCCTGGTTCCTCTCCATCAGGGACTGCAAGTTTTCCGACGGCTCCCCGCTGAAGTCAGACAAAAATGTTTGTTAGGGGAAATCAGAAGAGGCTGGAGCCCTGGAGTTATGGAGATGCACGTTGACCCGCAGAGGGTCCGGATCCAAAGGTTCCACTCTAATAATACTTTGGGATCAGGAAGCAATTTTTTTCTCCAGGCCAGTTTGGCCAGGGATCCTGGAGGATTTTTTTTTTTTTTTGCCATCTTCTGGGTGTGGAATAGGGGTCACTGGGGTTGTTTGGGGTGGGGGGAGTTATTTGTGAATTTCCTGCATTGAGCAGGGGGTTCGACTAGATGACCCTGGAGGTCCCTTCCAACTCTATGGTTCTATGAAGAACAGCAGAGCCTTCCTGAGGTGCTAGAAGCTACTGGATCTAACTCAGTGCCTTTAGAAGAAAAGAAGTCTCTCACCCAAAGGTATGCTGGAGACAGTAACTTTACAGCAGTGTTCCCTCTAAGCTGAGTTAGTGTGAGCTAGCTCATAGTTCTTTAGCTTCCAGCTCACACCTTTTTGCCTTAGCTCAGAAAGGGATGGCTCCAGACCAGAGCAAGCTAATTTATGCAGTCGCCAAGTCACTCGCTCACAGCTTTAATGCCGGCAGCTCACAAAGTAGAATTTCTGCTCACGAGACTCCACAGCTCAGAGGGAACACTGCTACACAGTGGTAGAAAAATAGATTTATTTATTTATTTGATTTGTATCCAGCCCTCCCAGAGGCTCAGGGCGGCTCACATGCGGCAAAGCCGAGATATAAAATACAATAAAACATATAATAAAATACAACATTTAAAACCACAGCAAACTCCATCCTATAACACGGTGCTGTGCCTATATTAGTCATCCAAGATGGGAACAACCACCCAAATTTGGCGGCCAGCTATCACAGTAGCGCGGTCTCCTGCTACGCTGTCTATAACTTCTGCCAGGCCATGCTTGCCCCCCTTTAGTAGGGCAGCTGATGAAACACTACCGCGTTGGTGGGATAGTGGCGGCGGCGGCTCGTACTCGAAAGCCTGGCGGAAGAGTTCCGTCTTACAGGCCCTGCGGAACTGCACAAGGTCTCAAGATCTTGAGAAGTAAGGACCATAGAACCATAGAGTGGGAAGGGACCTCCGGGGCCATCTAGTCTAACCCCCTGCTCAATGCAGAAAATTCACAAATACTTTCCCCAAACACACACCACTCCCCCCAGTGACTGCTGCTCAATGCCCAGAAGACGACAAAAAAAAAAAAAAAAAAAACCCCTCCAGGATCCCCGGCAAAACCGGCCCGGAAAACCATGGCTTCACATTTCCCTGGGCATGTAAGAAAGGGCCACGAGAACTAAGCGCTTAGGCAACCCTCCGTGCCCTCCCTCTCACGCTCTGCCTAAGCTCACAGAAGCAGCATTGCCAGTCGCTCGAGTGCTAGTCGTTCTCATAACTGCACCATGCTCTTCTCCCAGCAATGCGTGTACAGTCAGACTAGCTCCATGCAGACTCTTGCCTAGTTAAGTGGGGCAAGGACCAAGCATCCTCCACACAGTGAGTCAGGTGCTGCATAGAGAACCAGGGTGATTCAAGCTGTGCTGAGGACGGGATCTGATGCAGGTCAGCAACAAGGCCACGCCCACACAGATCAAGATGGGTGGCCGTTAGGAGCACACCTTAAGGACTAACAAAATTTGTGGCAGGATAGCAGCTTTTGGGAGTCACGGCTCACTTCTTCAGAGACCTCACCCTCCCGATAATAAAGAAGTGAGCCGTGACCAATGTTCCCTCTAAGCTGTGGAGTCTTGTGAGCAAAAATTCTACTTTGTGAGCTACTGGCATTAAAGCTGTGAGTGTGCGATTTGGCTGCTGCATCAATCAGTTTGCTCTGGAAACATCTTCCCTGAGCAAAGACAAAAATGTGTGAGCTGGAAGCTGAAAAACTGTGAGCTAGCTCACACTAACTCAGCTTGTTAGCCTTTAAGGTGCTGCTGGACTCCTACTCTAAGCCTGCATAGGAAGAGACAAACAGAGGAAAGGCTGTGGTGACTCCAGAAGGGCCGCTCGGGAGTCTGGAGCAAGACGGTAGACAAGGAGAACCAGGAAGGAAGACAACTGTGGCGAGTCCCACAAGGAGGAAATGGAGGGCCACAAGTAAGGGGAGGACAACGAACTAAGGCAGGAAATGGTTTGCGTCGGTACCCAAAGGTGGCTGCCACTTGGATGTGTGTTGAATATTCTGGACTTTAAGGGAGATGTTCACAGAGACAAACAGAGGAAAGGCTGTGGGGACTCCAGAAGGGCAGCTCGAGAGTCTGAAGCAAGACCGTAGACAAGGAGAACCTGAAAGGAAGACAACTGTGGCGAGTCCCCCAAAGAAGAGATGGAGGGCCACAAGGAAGAGGAGGACAATGAACTAAGGAAGGAAATGGTTAGCGTCGGTACCCAAAGGTACCCACTTAGATGTGTTGAATATTCTGGACTTTAAGGGAGACGTCCACATCCCTAGCCAAAATTCAAAGTTAAGCCACATTCGGCTGCTTAACCCTTGGCCCACAGAAATGTTGTCTTAAAGGACACAAAAGAGAACAGAAATTTTTAAAACAACCCTTTTCCAATGGACACGTGGAGCGGCCTAATCCTGAATCAGACCCTTATTCTATCAAGGTCGGTTCTGTCTGCTCAGACTGACAGCAGCTCTCAGGGGTGGAGGTCTTTCGCATCACCTGCTACCTGGTCCGTTTACATGGAGGTGCTGGGGGTTGAACCTGGGACCTTCTGCCTGCCAAGCAGAGGCCCTACCACTGAGCACAGCCCCCTCCCGTTATACTGGAGATGCCGGGGATTGAACCTGGGACCTTCTGCCTGGCAAGCAGAGGATTTATCACTGAGCCACAGCCCCGTCCCATTATACTGGAGATGCCGGGAATCGAACCTGAGACCTTCTGCCTGCCAAGCAGAGGCTCTACCACTGAGCCACGACCCCCACCCACACCCACAATGCTAAAAAGCAATTGTCTCAACAAACCAAAGCAAATCCTATCTGGCCCGTAAACGCCAATGACTGGGAGATCTTACCCAATAGACACTGGAAGTGTCCCACCGTGAGCCTGGAACAGTAAGACCTGAAGCTGTTGAACCTGCAAAGGAGCGGGTGGTTACCATTCGCATCCTATCTTGACGTTGACACATCTGAGAGTTTGTGGGGAGGGGTTCATTAAACCATGGGCACCCGGAGGGAGTCGCCGAAGCAGCTCCTGCAGCCGCACACCTCCCAAGGGCCCCCCCCTCTCTTCTCTCCTCCGCTCCACGGACACACGGCGCTTTGTACCTGCAGCCTTAACTGGTTGATCTCTGCTGCCTGGGGGTCCACGTTCACTACGGGCTTATTCTTTATTTTCCTCGCCCGGTCGGCGTAGCGAAGGGTGTTCAGGGTCTCTTCCAGGTTGGAATCCGCTGGGCTGACGCAGGCGATCATCAGAGTGTGGCTGTTGCCTCCCAGGGAATCTGGAGGAGACAGAAACAGAAGCAACGGGACGGGCTCACGAAGGGGAAAGAAAGCCTTCCGGTTTGTTGCAGCTGGGAAAGGGGAGATGGCTTCAGAGGCCCCAGGTGTCGCCCAGCCCCACGACGCCCACTCCACTCCTACCTTGCAAGAGGCGCGTGAGCTTCGAGTCCCTATAAGGGACATGGTTGCCTCGCTTGGTTTCGTCCCCAAGAGCACTGATGACGTTTCCCAGGCAGAGGAGGCCTTTGTTAATGTTGATCCCTGCAAACGGAGGCAAAACCGTCACCTCTCAAACAAGACCTCTCGGCTGCCCACCATCAAGGCAGGGGTGGGGGGGAGAAGCATCAAGAAAAAGCACTTTGAAAGACGCACGTGAGAGCTCCCTAGAGCAGGGGCGTCAAACTCGTTATGAGGGCCGGATCGGACATAAATGAGGCCTTGTTGGGCTGGGCCACGTCATAAAATGTCATGCCAGGTAGCGGAGAGATAAACTTTATAAAGGACACAAACACAAAGGTGGGTTTGTTTGTTTTTTTACTTAAAATAAAAGCACGCTTAAAACATTAGCTCTGCAAGCTGCAAACCTGCATTTGATTTATTGGCATTCCCCACAGAAATCTCGTCCTCAGAGTTCTGAGTCTAGGACCCAGGGGAAAACATGAAATGGCTGAGCGATTAAGAGAGTCTGGCGAAGCAAGCTACGATGCAGCAGCAGAACTGGAAGTAGGAGAGGGCCAGTTCAACTGTGGGCCTGATCCAGCCCCCTGGGCTGCATGTTTGACACCCCTGCCCTAGAGTGTTTACCATAAGAGCTAACGGCAGGACCAGGCATAGCAAGGGCCTTGGATTTGAAATTAGACACTGTTTCCTCAACTTCCTTCAAAAGCAAGGAAGATGAATTGGTTTTTATACCCCACTTTTCCCTCCCCTAAGGAGTTTCATACTGGCTTAATATTGCATTCCCGTCCCCTCCCCACAACAGGCACCTTGTGGGGTAGGGTGGGGCTAAGAAAAGAAGAGTTGGATTTATACCCCTCCCTTCACTCGGAGTCTCAAAGCAGCTTACAATCACCTTCCATTTCTTTCCCCACAACAGACACCCTGTGAGGTAGGTGGGGCTGAGAGAGCCCTGAGAGAACTGCTCTTGAGAGAACTGTGACTGACCCAAGGTCACCCAGCTGGCTGCACGTGGAGGAGTGGGGAATCAAACCCGGTTCTCTAGATTAGGGTCCGCCGCTCTTAACCACTACACTACATCGGCTCTTTGGATTATTCCTTTTTTCCCCCCCCAATCCCCAGAGGGATATTTTTTATTATTTTTTTATAAGACTACAAAACTACAAAGAAAATATGAGGGAGGGGGATAACATCTAAGGATAAAGGATAGATAACCACGCTATACTAAAAACCCAAGAGGAGGAGATCATATCCGCGTTAGTCTAAATGTTATTAATAAAAGTGTTGGTACAACAATATACTTGTAGAGTTCCTGTTTGTCTCGGCTTCAGTGTTAGCATGTTAGTTGTTGTGAGAGAACTTTCTGAGCATCTTCTTGTTAGTTGCTTCAAAAGGCACTTTTCAGAGTCCTTCTGTACATCAGCTCTTTGGATTATTCCTCTCTGAAGAAGCGAGGGTATCGAACACACAAGAGATCACTGTCCTCATCAAAGGAGCCATCACGTCAGGGGTCGTTTCGTAGAAAAAGAGCCAGGGGAACTCATTAGCATAACTCATTAGCATATGCCACCCCCCCTGACATCAGGGGCCCGGCGGTGGACCTGCAAGGCCGGCGGAAGTGCGAGGAAGCCCCACCAAGGCCCTCCCTGGCCCCAGGCAGGCAGGGGTGGGGAGAGGCGGGGAGGAAGCAACTTACTCTCCCTCTTTTCCTGCCTCCTCCTGGCCGAATGAGGGCTGGAGGCGGGGCGGCCGGAAGAGATCCCCCCTGAATCTACCTCTGCATCACGTGAACACATGAAGCTGCCCTATAATGAATCACTCTTGGGTCCATCAACGTCAGTATTGCCTACTCAGACTGGCAGCGCCACTTCAGTGTCTCAGGCAGAGGACTTTCCTATCACCTCCTGTAGTGGCTGGGGAACTGAGCCTGGCACCTTCCGCATGCCAAGCAGAGGCTCTGCCACTGAGCCACAGCCCCTCTAGGAGACAAGCCCGTGTGGCCATCCGACATCCCATCTGCTTACCTTCCCTCAGCCGATCTCCTTCTGCTTTGGTCTTCTTTTGTCGCTCTGAGCCAGCCAGATCCACAAGGTGCAGCTTGGAATGGAGGCTGGCATTCCTAACACAGACGGGAGAAGAAGAGGTTCACACCCAAGGCAGCGAGCAGAGTTCTTGGAAGCAGACCAGGATGCAGCCGGGCTCCAAAGCCCACCCTAATCTGCTGGATGACTTTTTAACACATCAAGAGAGAGCTCGCGTCAACCAGTTAGCAGTTTTGCAAAGTCCTGTCCTTCTTGCCTTTCTGACTTTAAAGGTTACGCGGGACGTCCTCGCACAATTCCTCCAGTGTTCCACCCATCTCAGGCTACTTCAGCCAAGAGCTGCCAGGTTAAAACATTGTCTTTCAGTAGGTCACGCCCTCACTTACGTGTCCTTCTTGCTTCTCTGTTCAACAGAAATGGTGAAGATTGCGTGGGATCGAGATGACTGTGTGTTCATCGCTGTGGCAGCCACCGTCCGGGAATTGTTCCCCTGCTCCAAGCAGATGATCATCTCTGGAGCGCAAGTCACCACGTGTTCTGTCAGTCCCACAATCTGCATAAAGAAGAGATGGAAGAGGAGAAAACGGGCTGCTTTCCATCATCGACGTTCACGCTTCTGTTATGGTCGATCCTGGAAATACTGCACTAGGCTTAAATACGATGCTTAAATGGTGCACTATTAAATACGGCAGTGAGCCATGCTCTCTCTAAGCCGTGGCGTCTTGTGAGCAAAAATTCTACTTTGGGAGCTACCGGTGCGAACGTTATGAGCGAGTGATTTGGCTGCTGCATCAATTAGTTTGCCTCTGGAGCAATGTTCCCTCTAAGCTGTGGAGTCTCATGAGCAAAAATCCTACTTTGCGAGCTCCTGGCCTTAAAGTTGTGAGCGAGCTATTTGGCTGCTGCATGAATTAGTTTGCTCTGGAGCCTTCCTTCCTGAGCAAAGACTAAAATGTGTGAGCCGGAGGCTAAAAAACTGCGAGCTAGCTCACACCCACTCAGCTTAGAGGGAACACTGGCGACAGCCGTCAGCTGTGACTCTCAAAAGGTCAACCCCCTGAAAATCTTGTTGGTATCCAAGTGCCAGAGGGACTCGAATCTAGCTTTTTTACTGAAGCCCAACACAGCTACCCCTCTGAATCCATCTCCAGAGTTCGGTTCCTCTGCCTGTTCAGAAAGCAGACTCTACTGAATTACAGTTAAGAGTCGATTCCACTAGCGCCTTAGAGACCAACGAGATTTTCGGAGTAAGCTTTCAAGAGTCAAAGTATCGGACAAAGGGAGTTTTGACTCTCAGAACTTGTACCCTGAAAAATCTTGTGGGTCTCTAAGGGGCTACTGGACTTAGATATGGCTCTTCTACTGCAGAACTGCTGCGGTGGCTCAAGTGGTTGAGACGCTGAACTGCAGGCTGTGGAAGGTCGGTAGTTCAGCAGTTCGAGACCCGAGTGTGCCGCATGACGGAGTGAGCTCCCGTCTCTAGTTCCAGCTCCTGCCAACCTAGCAGTTCGAAAGCAAGAAATTGCAAGTAGATAAATAGGTACCACTTCGGTGGGAAGGTAACAGCGTTCCGTGCGCCTTGGTGTTTAGTCATGCCGGCCGCATGACCACGGAAACGTCTTCGGACAGCGCTGGCTCTTCGGCTTTGAAACGGAGATGAGCACCGCAACCCTAGAGTCGGACTCGACTGGCTTTCGAGCAAGGGGACCTTTACCTTTACCTTACTGCAGAACGACACAGCTGTCCTCGGAAGCCAGCACAGACAAGGATCTGTCTGTCATGACATCGGAACAGAAGCCTGTGAAGAAGCGGCTGTTTTGAGACAGAAGCGGAAGGCTGCCTATGCCAAATTAGCTATTCAGCACACTGATAATTTAGGGACGAGAGACACGGAGAGATCTTTCTCTTAAGAAAGGAGGAACGGCGACACAAATTTAGAGAAACCTCAGCTGCCCTCAGCAATTTCCCTGTTCTCACTCCTGAAGGCCGCTATTCTGAGTCAAAAGAGAAGATCTGAATCATTTTTGTCAGGGGGAGGGGAGGTCTGTTTTATCAGATTCCCATTGCTGCAAGCCAAGTTGAAGACACCGAGATTAAAAACAACTACACCGAGCCAGGTAAGAACACATAAATGAAGTCGACTTATACCGAATCAGACCTTTGGTCCATCAAAGTCAGTATTGTCTACTATGACCAGGGGTCATTTCCTGCGGGAGTGCACAGGAGCGGAGCTCCGGCAGTAAGGAGCCCAGGGGGCAGGCACATGCAACAAGTCCCGCCCCCTGCTCCCAGCAGCCCTCAGTCAGAGCAAGAAGTAGCCAGGTAAGTTGCAGAGCTCCCCCCCCCCGCCTACCTTCAGGTACAAGCTCTCCCTCCCCTGTGAGGGCAGATCTGCACGTCCCCTCCCCCCCAATAGCTAGGAATCCAAAACAGTCCAGTGGAGCCTGAGCGGTGGGTGTTGCCTTCTGACACATTTCCGGTAATGTCAGGGGGTGTGGCATACGCAAATAAGTTACGCTAATGAGTTACGCTAATGAGTTCCTGCACCTCTTTTTCTACGAAATGACCCCTGACTATGACCCTCAGTGGGTTTCCAGGGTCTCAGTCTGTGAAAAAGGTTTCACATCATCTACTGCTAGGTCTTTCTTTAACTGGAGATGCTGAGAATTGAACCTGGGACCTTCTGCATGCCAAGCAGAGGCTCTACCCCTGAGCCACAGCCCCTTCCCACAGTGAATGGCACTCAGGAGCTTCACTTCTATGACCTGTTGCCAATTTCTCGCTAAACGCTGAGCCCTGGCGCAGAAGCCCACCTTTATGCCTCCCTTGGGGTCTTCACGGATGCTGATTTGAGAAGAACGTTCTCTAGATGGGGCCAAGAGGTCCAAGATGTCTTCATTGTAGATCTGAATAATTTTTTAAAAGAGAAGTTCAGGTCTTGAAATCCAAAAGGGAACCCGGGAGCGACGCGGAAAGGACATCGCAAGACTAAGTTCAGAGCAGGACAAAACCTATTTGATCACCACAGACCTGGACGCTCCTGCCCTGGATCCTCTGGAAATCAAAGCTTTGGGAAGGGAGAGAACACTCTGCAGAGGATGCCGAACACCACCTCAGTCAGCAGGGAGGAGGGGAAACTGGAAAAGTTCAATGGGTCTGGATGCTTGCGGTGAGTGACCCAAGCAGAAAACGTGCAAGCCCTTTTCCAGTAGAGCATCACGCTGGGGCGGGGGAGAACTAAACCATTTAAAGAGGCAACTCAGAGGTACCCAATCCCGGCCACAACCAAGACCCTCGCACTAGGGCTCAAGTCTCGCATTTCAAGGAGCCGGATAAGCAATGACTTGGTCCAGTATAGCAACAGACCTTAAAACGACACGGATGCTGAAAGCCAAACAAATTGGCTCCTACCTCTAAATAGGAGACTTTCAGGGAGAACTTCCACTCCGTCCTCTCTTCCATTTCTTGAAAGAGCAGGTTGATCACCCGGGGGATGACGCCAACCGTGGGATCGTTCCCTTGGTCAGCCGTGTAGGCCCCTCCCATAGAATAGGTCTTCCCGGACCCCGTCTGCCCGTAAGCCAGAACTGTAGAGTTGTACCCTGTGGAGTTAAGGCCAGGAGAAACCAAAAAGGGTCATTTGCACGAGGGAAAATGGAAGGCCTTTCTTTCCGTGAGCAAGGACACGGCAAAAGTCAAGGGTGGTGTTTTAGAAAAATACGTGCAATCCAAAGAATTCAGTACCTCAAAAATTGGTCCATATACTAAGGTCATGTGTATGTTAATTAAAAGACAACACCTTTTTGGGGGGGGGGAATCTTTTTCATCTTGAACTATAGCAACGCACCAGAATTAGGAGTGCCTCAAATAAATATAACTCACACTGGCGAAGGCTGTCCCCCCCCATCCCCAACAATTCATTACTGAAGAGTCGGCTGATTGGCCTCCAGATTAACATTTGAAGACCCTGGCATTCTCACTCAGACGTGGCCTTTTATTCAGGTAACAAGTTCATATGTAGAAAAACATGACTTTCAGGTGCACGGCTCAAGACATACACTTTTAACACAGGGAAGTCTTTTGCGGTAACCCAGCCTTGACGATCGGCCACACTCCCAAAAGCGGGATCCTTCCTCAGACCAAAGAAAAAGGTATAGAGCCAGGGTGTCAAACACGCGGCACATGAAGACACCCCCCCCCCCCCCGCAGTGTCTCTCTCGACCGTTTAAAAACGCCTTTCACCAGGGGCGCAATGCAAGTATTGAACACTTCCTCTTGTTCGGTAAACGGATCAAAAACATAGTCGTAGGTAAAAGGTTTGTCGTTACCCAAAATGACCTGTAGGGAGGAAGGGGAGAGTGACGGTCATGTTGTTTTCTTTTCAAAACTCACCTCTGTGGAATTGACAGGGCTTGCCTCAGCTGCTGCCTGAAGGACACCCCCCCCCAGGAGCAGGTTTGGTCCAATCCGTGTCCTCCTCCATCCCCCACCCACCCACTTCAGTCTGCTCACTCCCTCAGCTCTTTACGGCTCTTCAGTTCTGGGAGAAGCGCCAGCCCTCTGGTAGCAGAAATAGCTCCCCCCCTGCCCTCCCCTACCGCCCTTCCTGGCGATGTTCGGGTCTCGTGGAAGCTCCATTACCCCCGTCTGCCACTGTGCAAGCACCTGACTGGGTTTCCGCTCTCCCCCTAACTGCCACCGGTAAGCTTGGTCCCACTCGTCAGCAAGGCAGTGCTGACTCCAAGTGCCTGTTTAGGACACAACACCGGTCCTGTCGATGGCAGCATAGGTCTCCTATAACACCGAGGCTATTCCGAGTCAGTTAACGTATGTCAAAGCACTCCAGATGCCCGTTCGTCTTCACCTGAGGCTCTCCGGGGACAAACGACAGGCACATCTGGCAGCCCTCTTCCGTTTCCTTGGGAACAAGAGGGCGGCACCTGACAGCCACCCTCACGGGGATCGCCTTGGCCTCTTCTTTTGACATTTTGTACCGTTACCCTCCTTCAAGAAATCAGAGGACAAAAATATTATCTCACAGGAAGCACGCCACCAGTTTATCCACAGTGGCAGGGAACTGCTGCTGAAGCCAACATAACTCTACCTAAGGGACCGCCTTTCACCGCGTGTCCCCCCAAGGGCACTACGGTCGGGGAGTCAAAATCTCCTGGTAATCCCAGACCCCAGGAATATCACATTTGCTGTTACCAGGGCCAGGGCGTTTTCAGTGGTAGCTCCTAACTGGTGGGACAAGCTCCCGGAGGAAATCCGGGCCCTGCGGGACCTTGCGCAATTCCGCAAGGCCTGCAAGACGGAACTCTTCCGCCAGGCTTTTGAGTAGGAGCCACCGCCGCTACTATTCCACCATCGTTACCCCTCATCATCGCATCTCGACCATCAATTGTGCAGATATTAAATGGGGCGCGAGACGTTCCTGGATGAAGATGGGATGATTGTGTTGCTAGGAGGCATGCTGTTGGCCTGGAACTAATAACTTTTACCAGACTTGCAGCTATTGATCTTGTGACATCTAGAGCACCGACACTTTAGTGTTTTGTACTGTGTTGTTTTATTCTGTTTTAACTTTGGCACGTGTGCCTCTTTGTTAGCCGCCCTGAGCCTTCGGGGAGGGCGGGATAGAAATCCAAATAAATAAATAAATAAGTAACCTTCAAGATGTAAGCCCCTTTCTCTTAACAATATAAGTGGAAGAAGATTTCAGGCCTGGGAAGGACTAGCGACTCTGTGGAGACACGACACATGAAGCGACCTGATACTGAATCAGACCCTCAGTCTATCAAAGTCAGCATTGCCGACTCACAGACTGGTGGCAGCTCTCCAGGGTCTCAGGCAGAGGTCTTTCACATCATCCACCGCCTGTTCCTTTTAACTGGAGAGGCCAGGAATCGAACCTGGGACCTTTTGCATGCCACTCAGATGCTCTGCCACAGAGCCACGGCCCCTCCCAACTTTGACTAGGCTTGAACAGACGAAGCATTTGGATGATGGAACAAGGAGGCAAAACAACTCATTAACCACAAGGAAGATCTTGTGCAAAATTTAAAATAGATTTCAGATACCCTTAATGGCATAATAGTATATAATAAAGACATTTAAGAGTACATTTAATTCCAGTAAGTACATTTAGACAAAAATATGCATATTATGTAAAAAGACTGAATCTGAGTGCGGCTGATTCTGCTAAGAATTCTGCAACCATAATTGTAGTATCAGTATTAACATCATTAAGAAGATATTGAACAGTTTTAAGATTATTAGTAAATAA